TTTAGCGAATTGAATTTAGTCGTGTATAAGAAGGATGAAACACTACGACCAAGCTCAGTTTATCACAGGTTTACAATTTGTAGTAAACTTTTTAAATTTTAGAGTAGCTTTAGATTTATAGACATTTGTGAAAAGAATTCCCATATACCTCATACCCAGTGTCTCCTGTTTACATCTAATAAGCTACATTTATCACAATCAATGAACCAATGTTGATACATTATAATTAACTAAAGTCCATACATTATTCAGATTTCCTTTGTTCCTCTTCTGTTCCAAAATTCCATCCAAGATACTGCATTACATTTAATTATCATGTCTCCTTAAGCTCCTCTTGGTTGTGACAGTTTCTCAGACTTTCCTAGTTTGGGGATATCTTAATAGTTTTGAGCAGTACTAGTTAGGTATTTTGTAGAATTTTCCCTTAATTTAAATTTATCTGATGTTTTTCTCATGGTTAGAAAGAGGTTATATACATTTTTTGGGTGGAACACCACAACAGCCAAGTGCTGTTCTCATCGTGCATCACACCCAGGGTACATACTCTCAACTTGACTGATCACTGTTAATGTTGAGTTTGATCACCTGACTGAGGTAGTATTTGTCAGGCATCTCCCCTGTAAAGTTACTTATCTTCCCCTTTTCTATCACAGTATTCTTTGGAAAAAAGTCACTGTGTATAGCCCACACTGAAGGAGTTATGCTCTTCCTCCTTAAAGATAGAAGATCTACATAAATTGTTTAGAATTATTTTACATAGGAGATGTGTCTCTTCTCACCCATTTATTTTCCAACCACTTATTTTACATCAGTATGTACTCATAGATATTATTGAGTGTACTTGGAGTTATAATTCAATATTATTTCATTTTCTTGCTCAAGTTTTTCTAGCTTTGCCCATTGAGAGCTCTTTCAGTTGACACCTGTGTCCCTTTGACATACTTCTATCATTGTGGATTGGGTTTTTTGTTGTTTTTGTTGTCTTTAGTTTGTTTTTGTTTTGTTTTGAGCACTTTCTTACTTTCTGATATCCTCAGGTACTCCAGCTCATTTTGTGACCTCATCAGTGAGAAAAAGGCAAATAAACCAATATAAAAATCAATCTTGAAAAAGTGCTTCACAAAACAGGAAATTTAGTTGCCCCATGATCAGGAAAAGGTGCTCAACTTAGTAATAAAGGAAATAAAAATTAAAATCATGAATATTAAACATCTAGATAAGCAGAAATGAAAAAAATCTGGCAGTACCAGCTATTGGGATGGAAGGCAAAGATATGGAGCAGGAGTTCTCATACATTGCTGGCTAGACTATAAATTGGTAGGACTGCTTCTGAAAGTTTGACATTATCTGTAATATAGATAAGCATGTGGAGGTGTGCATGCCCTATGACTTGGAAATTCCTCTCACTGGTCTACACCCAAGTAAAACTTGGGTTTTTGTGCATCAGGGTACATATTCATAGATATTCACAGCAGCTTTGTTCATAATAGAAAAAATCTGGAAACAACCCAGATATTCAGCAACAGAAGAATGGATAAGTAAAATGTGAGATATCATACAGTTGAATACTAAATAAAAATGAACAAACTATAAAAACATGCAATAATTTGGATGCCTTTTAAGGCTGTAGTATTTAGACAAAAATGGAAAACACAAAGGAGTATATAATAACTTAATTCCACTTACATAAAGTTCAAAAACAAGCAAAGAAAATCATATTATTTAGGGGTGTATGCTTAGATAGTAAAACTAAAAAGCAAAGATGTGATTACCATAAGACTTAAGATATTATTTCAAGTAGCAAAAGGGCTCTTAATATGGACAAGACACAAGGGGTCTTCTGATTGATCACTTTATATTGTTATTATACTGTACATTTATGTTTTGTGTACTTTCCATTTGCTATATTTTATAATGAAAAGATTTTTTAAGGCACAAAATTATATATATAAAATCTCAATTTATAAAACTACGGTTAAAAGAAATTCTTATGTACGACTAATCAATTTGTGTGTAGATAATATTATATGATTTTTCACATAAACAAGGAGAAAAATGTGGAATATAATATGCACAGCAGGATGCAAAATATTAGTTTAATAGGATGAGAGGAGGGAAATGGAAAGGATAAGCGAAAAAGAAAGGTGTGCATAAAAATAAAGCAATATGCATGATATAATCGATTTATGTGTATGTATGTGTGTGTGTATGTGTATGTATATATATATTTCGGACAAGAATTCAGTGTCAATAGTTTATTCTGTTGGAGAGATTTTTGAAATATGGTTCCCATCTTGACAGTATACAATTAAAATACGTACATTGCCCCAAGTAAATCACCTTAGAGATCAGGGAGGTAGTAATTGAACACTAGATCTGCATGTTTCTTAAATTCATGTTTTTTTTCCATAAAGTAAGCACCACTAGGAGGGAGACCCCACTCATCTGATGAGGTAATTCAGGTTGAATGGAGATAAAAGATGGAAACCTAGGAATAAGGTGATTTCCAGATATTTGTATCCGATTTTTCAGATAGTTAAATAAGAAAGCAGTTTTTGAAGTGAAAAGACTTTCTAGGAAAGAAATAAACCCAACCACTGTTTTCCCTCCCTCCTCCCTTAGGACTCCTTGGAAGAGACTGAAGAAGGCATTGATGACTTAGTGTCCTCCCAGTTTTCTGCAAATACCCAGGGTCTAGCAAGTGGCCTGTCAACTGTAAGCAGTTCTCTAGCACACACTGAAAGTTTCTTCTTTCTCTCGATGATTTTCTGTGCATTTCCAAAAGGGATAGGGATACTCTTAGAACAATGTGTGATAGTGAGTTAAAAGTCATCATGGTCTCCTGCTTTGCCCACCGAGTGCTTTTTAGTTTAATTTTGTGTGGGCTTTTCCTAAGGCTCCTGATTTCTTTCCTCTCCTTGCATGGTCCTCACCCAGGTTTTAAAATTTCTTCACTCCTTAGTTGAGGCTCTCATCAGCTCAAGCCTGTAAATTATCTCAGTTCTCTGCTGATACATTTTCCTCCCGCAATTATTTCAACTCCCAGCTGTCCTCCACATTGCTGGCAGCCATTTTCCTAAAACATACCCAGTCAGGTTTCTCTCCTACTCAAACACCATCCATACCTTCCCACTGCCAACAAAACAAAGTCCCTTCTTATTTTAGTGTTCAAGGCTTTCCTTGAGGTGTAGGCTTTAGGAGCCCCTGTTTTCTTGTACCCATCTATGTACCTGGAAGTCTTTTTCTTTGCTTCTCTGATTTCTGACTGTTGCTCTAATATCCTTTTTTTCCTTTTGACCTTTGGGCGACTTCTTTAAAGAATTCTCAAGCAGGCTCCAACAGGAAGTGGACCTACCTAAATGTGCCTGATGCTGACTCAGACACTGTGAGTTTTCAATCTTTCTTTTTCCTTCTTCCCAACCATACTTCACAAATTTTATGGTAAGAGAAATCTGATCATGTGGGCTATTTTTCCACCATTTATCTTTTTGCGACTTGCGTACAGTTAACCAGAGGTTCTATTTGAAAAGATAAATAACGTCGTCAAAAGCCAAAGAAAAACATTCCAAAGAAAAACATTCATTAAACAGAATCTGAGTACCAGTCAAAAGACACATGGTCCAAAATGATTTACCATTAAAGAGATACCTGTAGAATAAATATCTCTTAAATCACAGCATTGGCTTGGTTAAGAGCATCAGGTTGATTAGTAGTAGAATTGCCTTAACTGCCTTAATCTCTCCTAAGCTTCAGCATTTGTGGGTTCTTAAATTTTTCTTCTATCCATAAGGACCCCCTGCTGACAAAGGATCTTCTTCAAATAATGGCTACAGAGGGGTGTGTTTTAGACACAAATTAGTGATATGAAGAGGTAGTGAGGTATGGTGGGGAGGTCCTCAAACTAAAAATCTGGAGATCTTGCTGTATGTCTCGGCACTGCCGACAATTTCTTTGAGCCAGAATTTTCTCATGTAATATGGGGAGGTTGGGGTTTATTCTCAAAGCCCTTAAAACTTGAAAGTGTGGTTCATGGACCAGCAACATTGCATTACCTGGGACAGAGACTCTAAAACTTTGTCAGTTCAGAGAGCCCCTGGTATCTTAGTGATACTTTCATAGCATTCCTAGGTCAAAAGTAATACCTAACTAGCCCATTTGTTAAGTACTTAGGTCAAAAAAATAAACACTGGTATCCTACTAACTTAGTGGCCATTTGAAAAAATAATATGCATAAATCAAAAGAAAAATAATATTCCATTCTTAAATAGCCCCCAATACTTACCAATGAGATACATGTGTCTGTTGAACACTACATAGATTGTCAAATCTTGAAAGCTAATTGGACAGCACCACTTTAATTTCTTGTTCTAAAGTGATTTTTGTGCAGTATTTGTTTTTTTGTTTTTTGGTTTTTTGTTTTGTTTTGTTTTGTTTTGTTTTGTTTTGTTTTGGTTGCAGCAGCTACCAAAAACTTAGCTTCACACAGGTAGGACTTCATTGAAAAAAAATAAAGTATGATGTAATGTTGATACTGGGAAATACTGTTAGTAGTTTGCATGATGTCTGACAGATGTTGCCCCGTTTTCCATTGAAATTTTAAAATATCTGTGGTGCCCCTGTGAGTTTGCTGTGGTGCTGTGGGATGCCTCAACACAGTTTGGAAACTGTGAACCCTGAATTTTGTTAGAAAAGCAGAATCTCAGACCCCACCTAAGCTGGAATAGATCTGAATCCTCATTTTAATAAGATCCCCAGGTGATGTATATGTGCGATTAAAGTTTGAAACACACTGCTCAAAGCCATCTGCTATCATAACAATTCTGTTGCTTTATTTTAGGAACAGGAAAGAGAAATTAGGTCAGTCACTGACTCTCTTTTAAGTTATAATTTCCCAGTACAGTCCTCCCTCAGTATCCTTGGGATGCAGAACCGATGGATATGGAGGGCTGACTGGAATTATTGCATCATTGGTTTTCTCTTGTCCTTGACTTAAGTTTAAAAGAGGTACTAGCCACATCACTCACATTTTGTTTTTGATCAGTCTCTGAACAATTTTATTCGTGTGTGTGTGTGTATATGAATGAAAAAGTAGAAAGTCAAGGCTCTCTTTACACTCACCATAGTCATTACTTTCCAATGGTTTACAGACAGGACTTTTGGAACTACTGTGTCACTCATGAAAACCTTCCAGGTGACAGTCTTGTTGCTAAGATACAGAGTTTGTGTTTCTGACACTGAAGGATAATTTTATTACATTTAATTTAAAATATGCCTTTTGTCATTAGTAACATGTCAGAAACTTCATTCAGTTTGGTAGATTTGAACTTTTTTACATTTTTTTTTCTTTGTTGTTTGCTGTGTTATTGTTTAGTACTGTATTTTATGGGTTGCTGTTTTACAGAGATTTATGAAGCTGTTGTCTTATACTACCCAGGTGGCCACACAGCTGCTCAGGAGAATCACAGCAGCTGTGGGTACCCTTGTGCTGCAGTTATGGCTTCTCAGAGGCTGATGGGATGCTGTCTGTGGGTGTCTGAGAGCTTATGGCTCCTGCTAGCACTGAATATGAGATGAGCTTTTCTTTGTCCCCATCAATGCATTCTAGACCTTGAAGTAGATTGACTTTGAGACTACCAGTGAAAAAGGAGAAAGCTACATAGATGGGGAGAGGAGATGGGCTTGGAAATGCCTCAATGACTCTATGTTTGTAAGAAGAGGCGAATAAACAAAGGGTATTTGCTATCCTGAAAGGGAAACACTTTTCCTCTCAGCAAGTTTCCTGTCAGCAAGTTTCCTGCCTTTCTTACTAACAGTCCTAGATCTTATCCTTTCTCAAGGCTGGATTTTATACAACACCAGAAAAATAGCTTTTTTTTATTTTTTATTTTTATTTCTTGCTTTCTAACCTCTCATTAGACTTCCCTGCTGATTATAAAGAACAGAAATTGTAATCAAATGAAGAGGGTAGCTTCTGTGAAGAGTTAGTTAGATTAACACTGGATGCCTCTTTTCATCTTGTTTTTTTTTTCAGACTAGCCTTAACAGCATGATGAGCGTTTACAGTGAAACAGGAGACTATGGCAACGTGAAGGTCAGTGGTGAAATCCTTCTCCACATCAGCTACTGCTACAAAACTGGCGGGCTCTACATTTTTGTCAAGAATTGCAGAAATCTGGCCATAGGAGATGAAAAGAAACAGAGGACAGATGCGTAAGCACATAACATATTCCTCAGATTATTTCAATCTCTGAATTTTTTTGTCAGTATATGTGTTTCTTTTTCAGAAGTGTCTTAACATTCCTCTTGATTCAGAGCCTTCTCTGAAGGTTGATTGTTACTTTCCTCCTATGTCACACTTCTAAATATTCTCTGAAGTGCATGTATAATGGTTGTGTTACCATTGGGGGAGATCTAAATCCATCATTGCCCCAGTGGTGCTGAGGGGCCCTCGGTTATTTTCGCCAATGCAGTAAAGAATTACAGATCAGTGAAATTTAGGAAAAATAAGATTTATTGATGTACATTTCAAGAGAGAAACAGGTTATGCGAGAAATGGCCGTAGGGCCATAGAAGCGGGGAGTCTGCATTATATTTGGGCCATGATGGGAGGTTACAAGAGTGGTCGGTGCTAGATGATTGGCATGTGAGGTCATTTTGATTGACAGTTGGCTATTATATAACCTTTTGTCTACTGCACATATAGTTATCCAGATTTCAGTCTGTTATAATTAGATTCATGAATTTCCAGGTGTATGTGTGATATTATAATGATGGTATAATGAGGCTGAAGTGAAAAGGTCAGTATAGTCCTCACTGTGCAGGTGTTTGTGGCTGGCCTAAACCAATGGCTATTTTGTGGCTTTTTATTTCCTTGTACTTCGGGATGTACGGGCATTGTTATTTGAAAAAAAATGGGTGTTTCTGGAAGGTCCTAGGGGTGGGCCTTTGGATTGGGCCATCATTCTTGTAATTCCTGAGATTTCAGAGCTGGGCCTTCACTCTCATTGCTCATGGCTACCTACCTGCCTAACAGTTATGACTGTGGTTACCTGATTTTAAAGAAGCTATTAGCCAACATGGTTTAGAACTGACATATTTGTAATTTGCACAGAGGCAGCTCTTTGAAATAGAAGGCTGACATGTTGGCATACCCCAAGATGTATAACAGTTGATTTTTGTTCTGGGAAACCCTCCAAAGAAAATTACCAAGCTGTTAGCCCAGACAACTCAAAAGGGCAATTATGAGGCTCTCAGGCTTCTAGGGATCAGCCTGGGAGGGCAGTTGTGGATGATGCCACATTAGAGGGGAGCCGGATATGAAGATGTATCAGGTTCCAAAGACCACTGCCAGGTTTGATGATTTACTAGGAAGAATCATAGGACTCCATGCATAGTCATAATCAGCAAAAGGAAGAGGCATATGTGACGAAATTCTAAAGAATCCAGGCTTAAGCTTCCAAGTGTTCTCTCCCAGTGTAGCCACATAGGATGCATTTAATTCCTCTAGCAATGGAGTATGATAACACTTGTGAGATGTTGTCTGCCAGGGAAGCTATTTAGAGACTCAACTGGTCACATACCAAAATTCCAGTCTCCCAGAAAGAAAGCAGATATTCATCGTGAGCCATATTGTTTTTATAAATAGTTTAGTCACAATGAGCACCTTATATCTGTTCTGGGAATGATGAGAATCCTCCTGAAATCTACATTCCCAGATGCCAGCCAAGGACCAACTTTGTAAGCAGGCATTGCTAAGGATAGCATTCTCCAACCTGCTATGTGACTCCTTTTCTACATACTAGAGGACCTAGATTAAATAAACAACTCAGCAAAGCTGTTTCCAAGTGTCCTAAGACAGACAAATGAAAAGGTTCTGAATACACATTAGTCCACCTACTTCCTCAGCTAAATATCACTGGGCTTCAGTACCAATATAATCATTTAGATTAACATGGAAAGGGGTCATCTAAAGCCCCAGGAGATGTGCTTCAGGACTCTGGTAGCATCTTGTATATCTTATACATTTCTGAGTCTGCCATGATGCCCCTGCCCCAACAGGCTCCTGGAATAGTTCAAAGCAAGGTGTTGGGTAGAATTGCTATTTTGACTTAGGTCGTTATTTTCTATTTCTTCTTTTTCATCATTTTCTTTCATTCACTCATTACCATTGACTCCACTCACATTCATCAGAAGACCTGACATCTGAATGGAGAGGAATGTAACCCCATAATATTTTGTGATACCATTGATCATAATAATAGATTATATTTATTGAGTAGTATAGTATGTCAGCTCCTTATATATATATATATCAACTGATTTAATCCTCACAACGCCATAAGTTAGATACTCTTACTATCCCAGGTTTACAGATGAGGAAACTGAGACAGAGAGAGAGGTTAGGTAAGTTCTTGAGTTCATCAAAACTAGTGAGGCATGGAGTGGCTCAACTCCAGAGCCCATACTCTTTACCACTACACTTAACTACTTTTCTCTCAGTGAGGGCCCAGAGTGATTTTTAAGGTATTCTGTTATGTAGACTATATTCTCTTTGGTTCTATCTCTTATGCTTACTGACCTATTCCCTTTACTTCTTTTATTCACTGAAGTCCCCGAGCATTTCTTGCAAAGTAGATGTTTCCCAATAATTGCTTTCATCTTTTATCATCAACAGTTATGTCAAGTCATACCTTCTCCCTGACAAATCTAGAAACAGTAAGCGCAAGACCAAAATCAGAACAGGCACCAATCCAGAATTCAATGAAACACTAAAGGTAGGTAAATAGTCTCTCATAGTAACTAAGTGATACTGTTTACAACCTCATTGGTTTAAAAGTAACTACAGAGAATTTGCATGGCAAAGCTTATGTATATTTTAGAAAAGAAGAATTTGAATAAATTAATGTAATATGCTTTTCTAACAGTTTTTAGAAAAGAAAAAATGTAAACCACTCCTGTTCTGTTTATTTCTGTGCTGCTGCTGAATTTGCATCTTAAGGGGAGATGATCCAGCAAAATTACATCTGAGCGGGTACATCTTGTCAAAAAAATATGTTTTGCCCTTGGGAAAATAGTGTTTTTTCTAGTTCCCCTTAAAGGAAGTTTATTACTTTTGACACTGATTTAGCAGGTCACTTTGTGCACACTCATTGTTCTGCTAACACAGCATGAGTATGTGCTGTTTCTTGTTATGGTTTCAGAATTTGGCTATATTTAGGAATGTGGTTAGTGAACAGTGGAAATGCAGGATTAGATTTGAGAAATATCAGAGAAAGTGGCCTAGATAAGATATGACCTAGGTCTCAATCCTAGAGAAATTATTTTTCCCCCTGGGCTTCCATATAATAACCTTTTCTCTCAGCCTGGACCAATCTAGCCTGTTAAGAAAGATCTGAGGAGACTGAAATGTATAAATTATTGCCAGTCACAGGGAAATTTATGGACCTTATGCCCAAAGTGATGGAGTCAGGAAGTTGGCGAGTGGAGGCATTTGTGGAAGCAGGAGCCAATATCAAGACAGATCAAAATGAGAATGAATGAATACAGGCAGAGGATGAATCCAGTGGCCATAATAGGATAGCAAAGATGAGCCCATGCAGAATAGACAAACAGAGTGACATGGCAAATTCAGGAAGCAGGGAGACAAGATTAATTATGCCAGGAATGGCAGGGACAGACATAGAAGCAAACCCAAGATGAGTCAGTTAAGTCTGAAGCATATTCCAGGTGGTAGTTGCAAATAACATGAAGGAGGTTTGCAGGAATTTGGCATGTGGACCTGGATGACATTCTGCTGGAAAAGGAACAGCTACCCCAGCAGTATTTTCTTTCTGCTTAATCTACATATGTATCTATTCATCCCTGCATTTAGGCTGGACTTTATGAAGTTTGGTATTTGCAAGTGTCTTACTACCAATACTTTTCTGGATTTGGGAGTTCTCATGAATAAAATAAGATAGAGAGGTTGGAGAATTGACAGAATAAACCTTGATCTTATAAAGTAGATGGTAAAAAAATAATAATAATTAGGCCAATGAAACAGGTAAAGCTGGAAAGGGAACAAGCTTCAACCCCTAACACTTTTTACACAATATCTGAAGTTTACTGTGACACTCCCCCGACCCAAATAATTTATTGATATATCTTTCAGTGCTAGGTCTAACACAAAGGGAGTTAACGAACTAGAACCTCTGTTTTAGCAGAACCAAAGAAAAATAAAATTCATGTTGCTAATGCATCCGATCTGAAAGATGGCAGAAGTAAATTCCAATCTGTCTAAGAATTGGGCAAAACCTTCCATGTGGAATATGATACTGTCAATTTCATTTGCAGTATACCATCAGCCATACCCAGCTCGAAACAAGAACTCTGCAGCTCTCAGTCTGGCATTATGATCGATTTGGACGTAATAGCTTCCTTGGGGAGGTGGAGATTCCTTTTGACTCATGGAACTTTGAAAATCCAAGTGATGAGTGGTTTGTGCTTCAGCCCAAGGTAGGAAATGCTTCCAAATTAGTCATACAGTTATACAGTGAGTCAAATTATGAGCCTAATTGATGTCACAAGCCTAAAGAATCTGAAGACTTCCAGTTTTAAAGTGATAATCTGTGAGATTAGTGCAGCTAATTTTGGAATAATGTCATAAATGTAAATATTCTTTTGGAAATCATTAAGTACAGACTGTAATGCAAACCACATAATCATATGCAGTATTAATTTGACTTACTAAAAATTTATTCATCATTTGGCGGTCTTCATGGATAAAAGGAATACGTTATACGATCCTATTATAAAGAGAAAATATTCATTTTCACATAGGCAAAAACAAATCCATAGGGCAAGATCAGTCTCAAAACATTCTCTCCATTCCTCATTCTCCACAATTCAGACATAAGCAGGAATTGTCTTGCCTGGGTTCACATGAAGAAGTGAACAGTAGCTAAAGTATCTGATTTCCTACATTCCTTTTTTTGCGATTCATAACCTAGGTCTTGAATTATAGTCGAAAAAACAATATCAGAGCTAGTTCTAGAAATTGATAATATAATATGTTCTAAACTAGAGCAAGAGTACCTTGGATTCACTTGATGCAGCTGGGGTATTTCTACATGTACGGTGACTTCAAGTCAAGAGTAACGTGAAAAAAAGGTCACATTTACATAACCAAACATTGTTCTTTGTATAGAGAGGCAAAAACAGAAAAGACAGTGAAGATAGTGGAGTCAAATCAGACTTCCTGGGTTCAATCCTGGTAGCTTCACAACTGTGTGTGTGACCTTGGGTAAATTCCTTAACTTTGATGTTCTCACTTGTGATATAATAATTGGACATAGCTTATAGAAATGCTGTGAGGCTTGAACACACATTCTATGTGATACTTGCAATATTAGGTCAGGCACATTGTAAGCGCTCAATAAGTGCTAGGTAATATTTATGTTACATTGCAGTCCTTTTATTGCAACTGACAGAAACTCTAGCTCATACTGCTTAAAAAGTAAAAGGAAATTATTGCTATGTAATTGATCCTGATGCTCAAATATTATTAAAGCACTGAAATCTCTTGGTCTCTCATCTCTGCGTTAGCTTCATTTTTAGACTTCATGCAGTGTTAGCTTCCCTCACTAGCTCCCGATATGCTTCTCTTAGACACTGTATCAGCTGCAAAGCCTGTCATTCTTGTACCACACTGTCCAGGAGAGAGGAGAGTTCCTCATCCTCCAACAGTTCAACCAATGCCCTTGGCTTGGCTCTCCTAATTCTAATTAGATTATTTGCCCATCCTGAGCTAATCACCGTATGGCCACGGAGGTGAGCTAAATTAGCTGGCTTAAGACAATCAGATCATACTCTGGTCCTGAAGGTGGTATTGCCCTAAAGGAAATCCAGGTACACTAGTATTAAAGGAATGGTGAGTGGATGCTAGACAGGGTAAAACAAAGGTCGGTAATCAACAACAACACCGATCATCATTAATAGAAGCATTGTTCACACCTAACGGTTACAACTATTGCGAGCTAAATATCATTGTCCCCATTTTATATGAGGAGTCTGAGACTCAGAAGTTAAATACAACTTTTTGATGGGGTTTTATAACTGTTGACCTCAAACATGGTGTAAATAACTCATGGAAAATCTTTAGGAGGTATCGTTGGGCTGTGGGTTAAATTGACAGTAAAATATAATAGCAATCCTTAAACATAAAATAACGGCAAGCCTATGACTAACATAAATGTGATAGAGATATGATGTACAATAATAACAAGTCCACAATAGCATAACATTCCCCTGACATTAATTATGGAAAATATTTGGTAATTACAGCACTGTGTCCCTTGGAATTGAGTGAAAAGCCTTACCATAAAGGATAACGCTTAATATAACTTAACAGTTTCCTATTGCTCCCTTCCTTGTATTTTTAATGGGTGGGCATCATGGAATCATAGTTAGAAGATGTCCAAGACATTATATGATGCGTAACACAGATGGAGAACAAGTAACATGCATTTTAGTAATGAAATTAACTTAACCTGTCATAAACTTAACATTAAAGCACACTGGGGCTCTTTGCAGAGTTTCCAGTCAATTTCCTGGAAATGGTTGCAGGATTTGTACTGGGATAGTATCTGAGCTTTTGCAGGCATCCTCTGTGTTTAGGGACCAACAACTTTCCGAAGTAATCACCTTCACATTGCCACTGAGTGGTTTTACTTTCTATCATAAAGGAGAAGCATCTCTCTGAGCCAGCTCAAGGTAGAAAAGTTCTGATTGTGTTTAATGTCTGGAACTCAGTTGGTCCTCTGCCAGATGACCTTGGATTCCCTTCACCACGTGTGTTAGGAATTTTGCCTCCAATCCCCTCTACCTGAGACATTCTCTAGAAGCATGTCCTCAGGCTACTGTAGCTTTTTCCCATGTGGGCAGAGAGCCAGAAGTTCTTAGGAACTTCTGTACCTCCTGCCACAAGGCAACCCTTAGCCAACACCTGATGGATTAGGAATGGGGAGAGATCTGAAAGCCCAATTCCCTTACAGAGAGTGGAAAAAACTCCTAGGTGTTACACTCCAGAGCTCCCCAGCTGGATCGGGCTGATCCATTGTCTGGCTCCCTCTCCTTCTCTGACCTGTCACTTGCATAAGAATCCTCACCTCAGAGTCAGCTTCTGGGGAACCCAACATAAGTTAGTGTTTCTAATCCACGTCATCTTTCTCTGCTAAGTTTCCTTTGACACATATAGAGGAAAGGCTACAGGTTTGGACTTGCTTAGCTACCATGCCTTCCAAAAATGGGGTGGGACCCATTCTAAAACCTGCTGTGTACTGTCTCCCACTTCACCAGTAGCTCATCTTCAAGCTGAGCTGGCGTTGATTATCAGAAGTGTCACTTTATTCTCAGTTTCCTGTCTCAGTCATTTCAGTGCAGTAGTTACTTCATCAGCTACATCTATAGGATGAGCAGCCCCAGAGACCTGGTGTTTCTTGTAGATTATCCAGCTGAGGAGGTGAAGTGTGAGCTACAGGGACCAATTTCTTTAGTAATAGAGGGTCAGAATTAATAGTCCTCAAGCATTTAGAAATACGGATATTCTTCTGCAGTGGGAATACTAGAAAGACATAGTGTCTTATTGCTTATTGACTCAGTGTTAGTGACAATACCTTGACACCTATCTGTTTTTGCTAGGTCTTACAGCACTAAGCCAGTCAGAAGGCTGATTCAGGTAGAGAAAACTCAAGATGCCAAATATACTGTAAAGTCATTTCACGGTATAACTTCCATTTTATTGCAGAACATGGATGTGCTTAGTAGCTATAAGTCATTATCTTTGTGAAAGGCATGTTAAGTATTTAGACGAAAGGGATTTGTTAGTATGAATTCTCTTTCATGTGTTCCCAGAGGGTGCTATTATAAAAAGGACCTTTGAAAATGAACAGTAAGCTTAAGTGGTTTTCCAAGGAAACCTCTTCTGTTCTGCCTTCAGGCGGAGAGTAAATATAAGTTATTGTGGAATTATCACCTAGCTAAAAGGCTCTATGTTGGGTACTTTTGGCTGACTTTTGTATGTAAATTATTATCCCATCTTAGACCTGTAAATGCACTGGGAACTCTGCTTCCTACTCTGATGGAAAGTGGATCTCTCTCTCTCTCTCTTCAAAAAGTAGAAGATAATGGGCATTATCTGATTATGCCATTCCTCTGCTCTGTCAGATACCCTCAGGGGTTTCCTACTGCTTTTGAATGTGATTTGAATAAATCCTAATCCTCACCCTGGAACTCAGTGCTCCCTTTATATGGCCCAGCTTTCTGTAGCAGAGGAGGATGTCAGAGCTCTTCCCATATCCCCACTTTCATACATATATGGCTGTCCACCACTTTCACTCTCACTAGCCAACACCTGACAATCTTTGTAAGAGAGGAGTCCTCAGGCCTCCTGCAGCTGTCTTGGTCTGTGGGCATAGAAAGCCAGAATAGCTTGGGTATGTAAGTCTCCTGGGAGTTGAGGGCAGAAAGAGCATAAACGCTCTCACTCCCTTGCCTGTGATGGGGCCAGCTCTGAAGTGTGATCTCTCTTGTCTCCAGAGCTCTGCTGTGGGACCGAGCCAAGTTACTCTCCTTGAAACTTTGCCTGGTATCACAACTTTGTGAAGCCTCTCTTCTCTTTGTGATCTCACTTCCCCACTACCCATCCTATTAGAACACTATAACATAAATTCAGAGGAGACACCTTATTTCTATTTTCCGTGCTGCAACCTCCCTGTACACACACCTCTAACCACACCTGACTTCCTACCATTTCTTATATACATCCTACAGTCCCCACTGTACTTTGCTCATACTGCCTTCTTAACTCAGACTAACCTTCTTCCCATTCCATCTGGTATCATTTCTCCCATCATTTAAGGACCAAACGAGGGCCACCTCTTTATCTCAATCTGGATTACTCTCTCTCTTGCCACAGTAGTTTTCTTTGTAGTTGAATTGGAATATCTGTCAGTATTCGTCTGACATTGAACTTACACAGTAGAAGCCCAAAAGAAGACTCAGCAATCAACATCAATAGTTGATCAGTTAATAAAGTACAGAAATCATACACATATCCCCAATGCATTTCTTAAACATTTATTTTAACTCAAAACAAACAAATGTGCATTTATTTTCAAGTCTTCTAAAACAGGGATAATTCATTTTATCTCAGTATGATTTCAGTGATTAAAATTCTGTCATATCTTCCTGGCATATTCTACCCCTAATGCATCATCATCAACAGTTTCTAGTTTGAGTTTCTCTAAAGGGAAAGAAGAATTTAAGAATACTTTCAAAGTAAACCAAGTATAAAATGTCTCTCAATATTCATGATTTTTTTCCAGTCTTTTATAGCCTCAAGCCCAAATATAATCCAATAGCAAATTTATTTTCAAATCTTTATCTCTTCTATAGTATTTAACTTAATTTTTATAGCAATAGCTATCTTTTTGTACTCATGCAATATTAAATTATATAATTAGAGCCACAAAGATGCCTGGCGTAAAGAGCTTGGGAGACTAATGCTGACTTTTGGTGAGCATGCAGTTCAACTGATGGGAGCAGACATACATGGTCTTTGTGGTGAGGATCCTGCTCCTCATTGAGAATGGAGAGCATTAATTAATCTGATGAATCAGTTAAATAACGGCAATTTAATAGAGCTTCTACAGCATATATGTCTTCTGGATAGACTGAGCACTCATTGAAAACAAGATCTGTGTCTATGTTCCCACAGCACTTGGCAAGATGCCTTAAAAAGCATTACTACAGGAAACCATTCTGTATGGTTGAATTGAATTGAATTCTGCTACTTTTATCTGAGCAGGAGTTGGCCGAATAATGTAAACTGGTGGTAGGCAAGAAGAGGATGCTGCTTTGGAATTTCCTTTCAAGAATATTAAAAATACCCCAGAATATTAGATCTACGTGCAGGATATATGATGACTCTCTCCTTTGTCTTTCTTTTGTATGTGATTATGATGCTATAAGACTTCATGTTTATAGTTTTCTACTTCCCCAAGACTTGAAAACTATATTTATATAACGCCACCAGTATATTTTAAGTTAAATTAAAAACCAGTGAATAAATCTCAACAATGCATGTTTTGATCCCTATACTATATATTAGTATATGACACCTGCACATTATCACTTTTTCCTACCCCAAAATCTCAGCCAAAAGCAAATGGAGCCTGTTGTATAGAACTACCAGTTGTATAAAAAAACTACCCTAAACCTTAGTGCCTTAAAACAAAAATTTATAATTCTATGGGATAATTGGGCTCAGCTACATGGTTCACATTTAAGGTCTCTCATGTGGTTGCTGCCAGATGGTAGAGTGAGGCTGAATTCATCTGAAGGTTTGACCGGGCAGGTTGTTTAAGTTGGTTGTCTCACAGTTGATGTTTGTTGCCAGTTGGGAACTCATACCTGCCAGCTGGAGCCACCTACATGTGGCTTGGGCCCTATATCATGAGTTCTCAGAAGGAGCATCTCAGGACTATCCATTCCAGGAGAGAAAGTAGAAGCTGTTAATCTTAAGGCCTGGGCCCAGAAACTGGCACATTAACACTTCTGCCATAGTCTACCAGTCAAAGCAATCACGGAACCCACTCAGATCCAAAGAGAGAAGACAAACGCTCATTGGCTATATCAAAAAAAGTAGTGACTTCTTTAATCACAGTACCCATTTATAACATTCACTGAAACTTCAAAACAATAAGAAAAGTCCTTTTCACAAGGCACTTGATCTAAAATAATCAGATTAAATATTGGATGGATAGTCTATTTCACCATCTAATCTCATTTTTACCCCTGGTAAGATGGTTGAATAAAACAATACTTCAGATGTTTTTTCTACCCTTACTAATAAGTTTTACCGCCACCAGGATGAAAGAAAACCAGGCAAGGATTTCTTTTCTTTGCTATGGTCTCAGTTTTTTTTTGCTGAGGCTTGAACAGCTTCTGGCTTTGCTGTGAGTTTTGGGGTTTCTGAATTCTTCCAATCTGCTCTCTCTCAAAAGAGAGCAGTTCTCAACCCTTGACTCAGTGCTCAAGAATCAGATGTCTGAAGAAAAATACTTGAGAAAGTGCATTACTTTTTTTACACTATTTATGAAAAATTAAAGTTCAGTTGACTCGATGGCAGTTGGGAGGCTCTGGAGTCACATTTAATTTTTTAATTTAAACTTTTGAGATACTCATGGATCTATATGAAGTTATAATAAATAATACAAAGAGATCCTATAAACTCATTACCCGGTTTCCCTCAATGATAATATCTTGCAAAACTAGTACAGTATCACAGTCAAGCTATTGACATTGAGATAATCTACCAGTTTTATTCAGATTTCTTCAGTTTTCATTTGTGTATGTATTTAATTCTATGTAATTTAATCACATGTGTAGCTTTGTGAATTCACCACCACAGTCAAGATACAGAACAGTTCTATTACTACAAAGATTCCTCATGTTCTTTTATAACCATGCCCGCTCGCATCCTGTCATGCCCATCTCTAACTCCTAGCAACCACTAATTCGTTTTTCATATCTATTATTTTGTCATTTTAAGAATGCCATATAAATGGACTTGTATAGAATATATCCTTTTGAAACTAGCTTTTTTTTTTTCCACTCAGCATAATTCTCTTGAGCTTCATCCAAGCTATTACATATATCAGTAGTCATTCTTTTTCATTGCTGAGTAGTATTCTTTGGTATGGCATGTCGAAGGACATCTAGGCTATTTCCAGTTTTTTACTGTTACAAATAAAGATGATACGAATATTTGTGTACAGATTTTTGTGTAGATATAATCTTTCATTTCTCTAGGATAAATGCCCAAGAGTGCAATTGCTAGGTTGTATGGCAGTTGTATGTTTAGTCTTATGAGAAACTGCCAAACTGTTTTCCAGAGTGACTACAGCATTTTACATTTACATTTTACGTTTCCAACAACAATGTTTGAATGAACCAGTTTTTCCACAATGAATTTTAATGATGTGAATTACCAGTATAGTTTTTAATATTGGTGGCTTGCAACCCAGTGTGAATCAAGCATTACTGCCAACTTCGCCCTTGGTCACTTAGGAAAGCCTTGAGACATCAAGGACAGATAGGAAGAAGTATCTTGTGGCACTATTTTCAGGGGCGTTTTATTCCTGCCTTATTCTCCAAAATATATGTATGTTTGTTGATGGTTCAGTTCTCAGTGCATCACAGGTACACAAATGTGTATTACACATCTCCTCTCAAATTCCTTTTACTCTGATGTTAAATGTTATATGCAAGTGCCTCCGTAGGGTTTTCCAGCCTCTGTTTTCTCATACTTAAGACATCTCTTAAACCAATAAGTGCTATTATAGTTGAATTAGAATGGATTGTCACATTTAAGCCACCAAGTAAATACTGTACAAACATGGGCTACAAAATAACAAAACAAGCATTCTCCTTTTTCTTTTGACCTGCCTCCCCTCGGCCAGGTGGAACTTTCTGCTGACATTGGCCTTCAGTACAAAGGAGAGCTGACAGTTATTTTACGTTATATTCTCCCAGAGGAGAACCTGATGCTTCCACTAGGACAACTTCAAGGTAGAGTAAAAAACCAATGACTTTGATCAAGGACATTCTTTTTTTAGAAGCTTGTGATGAAGGATCAGGAATTGCTTGGACTATGTTACTTTTGCATTACACAGATGAAATAAATGTAAAAGATCTTTTACTGTCACTGTCTTTTGAGGAGAATCGAGAAATAGATACTATATGTGAGAAAGGGTGTGGGATTCTTGCAAGGAAAGGACAAAGTTCATACTTAGAAACCAGCCTTAATGGTAAGATTTATTTCCTGGAAGTCTCAGAGATACAGGATCTTCCCCAGGGTGGAGTGGGGGCTAAGGAGGGGACAGTCTGGAAAGTGCAGGTATAGATAGCTGCCTTATGGATTTATGACATTCACAGCTACTCAGAGAGTCTTGAGGAGGAAATTGACCTAGAACACAGAGTATAAAGGGAAAATCCAGATGGAGACAACTTTTAAATCTCTCTTGACCTTCTCCTTCCATCAACTCCTATAGGCAGTCTTTTCTATTCTCCCATTCACTATCACCTTCTTCAGTGTGACCCTGTGCAAGTGACTTACTATCTCTCGGCCTCAGTTTCCTTACTTCCTAGAAATATTGTAAGGATTAAATAAGTTCATTCATGTTAAGTGCTTAAAATCATACTAAATAAAGGTGGTAGTTGTTATTCATGTTTGAACATATTTCATTATAATAAAAATGTAATGTGGGAAGAGTTTTCTCTCAAAAATGTAATTTTGCCTGGGCTATAGTCTTTAGAGCTGGCCTTGCATGGAGTTGACAATTTAGAAGACTAAAATATCAAAGAAGGGAGTTATAGAATTTTCTCTTTTGGAGTCTTGGTGCTTATATGTGACTTTCATTGTAGCTACTTCCCAATGAGGGCAGGAATGTGGCCCAAGAAGCTTACGAGGTCTTTTCAATTTTATTCCTTTATACCCTGTAAAAAGATATACCTTGTCTATAGCCATACCACCCTGAACAAGCGCGATCTCGTCTGATCTCGGAAGCTAAGCAGGGTCGGGCCTGGTTAGTACTTGAATGGGAGACCACCTAGGAAGACCAGGTGCTGTAGGCGTAAAAAATAAAAAAATAAAGGATTGTAAGCTGACAAGGTCCTTACAATCTGTGAGGTCAACCAAGGGTTGCTCACCTTTTTTTTAAAAAAAAAAGCTATACCTTATAAGGGAGTTTTTAAAATTTAAAATTTATTTGTTCATGTTTTTTCAACAAATATAAATGAAAGACCTATCCAGAAGGAATCCAATGGGATAAAAAAAATATTTAAATCAATACATGGAAAAATATATAATAAATAATATGAAGACCTGATTCAATCAGCAAATGAAAGAATCTTTATAGATTTTCTTTGTAAATTTTGAAATGGAACCCATGATCAATCTCTCTTCTCTCCTCTTCTCTTCCCTCTTCTTCTTCCTCCTTCCCCTCTCCCCCTTTTCCCCTCATTATTTCTTCTTCCCTCTCTTTCATTTTGATGGCTTAAGCAGGAAAGAAGACCATTAAAAGAGGAAAGAAGGAGTCGCCTCTAATTTCTGGAGGAATACTAGAAGTATTCATCAAAGAGGCAAAGAATTTGACAGCAGTGAAGTCAGGAGGCACTTCTGATAGCTTTGTGAAGGGGTAATTTTTTTTTAAATTCATTTTAGATCATTCTTAATGAGAGATTAAAGAATCTGTGATCCACGAGGCAGTGGTAGCAGTGAAGCTTCAATGCTCTTCTTATTCAAAATGTACTAGGAAAGAGCTACCCTTGAATGCTGGCTCTTCCATCTCAAACAACGAGTACAGAGGGAACTGTTTATTCTAGCCCTCAGGCTGCTTCCAGCATATTTCAGTATTTCTCACCACTCTTACCTTCAAGATGGCAAATTTTCCTGTGCGATTCATTTCTTGAAGGAGGAAAAGTATTATTTTTCTACATGTAATATACTTTTTTTTACATGTAATATACTTTTATTGTGCTTTATTATCATTTGGTGCTGACAATACACAACAACAACAAAAATATTGGATCCTTGGCATTTTGCTGTCTTGGGGGAAATAGTAAAAAGTGGAGAAGTCAGAGCATTCTTCCTGGAGATATCCACTGGCGAGTGCTTTGGGGAAGGTCTGGGAATTTGTGCCCACTTTGTTTCTTGAGGGAATATAGCCCTTTAAATGGACATATTTACCCATTCTAGGCAACCCCAAAACAAATGTCTCTTGATTTCTATTTGAGATTTTTCTCCTATAATTAGAAGAACTAGAACTTGAGAGATATTTTTCATTCTTTCAAGCAAACACATAAATGCACACATGTACCAAGCTGAGTGTTGTGGTTTCAGAAATTAGACATGGCCCTTGCTCTCATGAAGTGCCATAAAACCCATGAAGGCAAACAGATTCCCATGACGTTAATTCTTTGAGTCAGATGACAGTTTCATTCCTCTCTTCAATCCTTGTGTAATTTTTTTTTCCTACAAGGAAATGAGTCAAGCCTTTACCCTCACATGTTCTAACTTTGATAAGGCCTTTAATAAGGAGAAGCAGATGTCTCGGGCTTCCCCAATGGCGAGCGTGTGTGCCTGAATCCTGGTCTATCTGTCCTTCATTCTTTCTCATAGTAATGAGATGCTTTATTTGGATTATGCCATTGCAGTCTGCCTCACCAGCCCCACCATCCGGATCAGGCCTCTTCCTGCTCACTGTTTGGTGGGATGAAGGGTTCCTTCCCTATGGCTTCATTGTGGCCTTGTAGGGGTTTTCACTTTATTATGTTTAAAATTTATGAAGCAGTGTCTATGGCCATGCTACCCTGAACAAGCCTGATTCCATCTGATCTTGGAAGCTAAGCAGGGTCGGGCCTGGTTAGTACTTGGATGGGAGACCACCTAGGAAAACCAGGTGCTGTAGGCTTAAAAAATAAAAAAAAAAAATAAGGGATTGTAAGCTGACAAGGTCCTTGCAATCTGTGAGGTCAACCAAGGGTTACCTTGCCTAAAAAATAAATTTAAAAAAGTAATAAAATGTACGAAGCAGAGCTTATAAAGGATGGTATCTATAAATTTTTTAAATGCCAGTAACTTTCAGGTAAATTCTCTCCTTAGTTACACTTCAGCATCGAGCTGATTTTAAAGGGACTTCAGATTTTTTTTTAAAAGAGCATGAGAGAACAATAATAGATCTTTCTATAAAGCTTAATATTATAAAATATATCAGTTAATATTAGCTCTGTCTATGAGCCAGCATAACAGTGGCTTAAAGACAAAAGGTTTTTTTCTCTTGCATGTAAACAAAGACTAAAGGTAAGGTATCTAGGGCAGATATGGAAGCATCATGATAATCAGGGACCCAGGTTTCTTCTGTCTTATTGTGGTGTCCACCTCACGGGCCAAGATAACTGTTTCATCTGTCCCATCCAAATTCCATCTGGCAATACACTTTCGAGAATTTTCATACAAGACTATTTCTTATATCCAGAACTTAATCACATGACTATACTACTGCAAGGGAGACTGGGAATATAGTCTTTATTCTGGGCAATTTTGTGCCTACTAAAAATAATGAGGATATTTTTAGAAAAGTATAAGGAGAGAATGAATATTGGGAGAAAGTCATCTCTGCTTGGTATAGGAAATGAAATCGCAAGTGTTGTATTTTTTTTTTTTTATTGTAAGGCCATTTGTTTTTGACATTTTTCATGTTTGTTTAATGAACTAATGATACCCATATGTCTTCTTCCTTAAAGCCTGTACCCTGGTTCATTAGGTACCTGGAGCCTCATTCTCTACTATGGTCAAAAACATTATTTTTGACCGTGGTAGAGAAGGCCTGGAGTGCAGGTGTTTTATTTGAGAAGAGATTCCAGGAAGCACCAGTGAGAGAGTAGAGAAAATAAGACAGGGAATGGAGGGAAGCTGATAAAAATATATTAATAGACACATTACTACTGTGGGCAATTGAGGCTCAGTTGCACTGGAGAAGCAACAAAGAAGGAACTCACTCTGTGGAAAGTACCTTAGGATTGTCTCTTCAAGGGACAGGGAAGCTGTGGGATTCATCTATCAACTTTTAAAACCGATTGGTTGAAGGTTGCTCCTAGGAACATTAAATCCCCAGTAATCCCAGGATTCCCTGCATGTAAGTTGAGTAAGCTCACACAGCACCAGAGGAAAGTCCTTACCTAGAGACATGGGCACTTGAGGTGAGAAGCTGTTAGCATACCAAGAACTGCTCATCCTGGCTTCAAGTCAAACTAGAGGTTGGGCAAAGATGATAGAAGACAGGATATTTTATTGTGTCCACCACAGGAGGTGTTTTCATTTCAAGATGAGGAAAGGACCAAAATAGGATTAGAAAAGAGAGTTTGGTCATTTTACTGTTGCCCCACTTAAAAGAAATAACAAACCATCTCACTAAAATAAATCCAGAGTTAAGCACATAAAAATGTGGGATAGAAAATTGAAGGGGATCCCCCCCCCCCCAAAAAAAGCATGCTTTTCTGCTTATTCACATGTTGCTGCCTTTTATAGGGATTTGGGTGTTGAGATTGCAGACAACCTGTACGTCAGCTGGCTGCCTCCACAAAGGACACACACACACACACACACACACACACACACACACACCCCAGGAATTATGGGAAATTGAAATAACTACTCAAGGATGTCATTTTCTGCCTACTATCTCACTGATGGCTTGATTGCATTTTCTCCTGCAGCTACCTGCTCCCTGATGATAGCAAAGCCACCAAACACAAAACTCTGGTAATAAAAAAGAGTGTTAATCCTCAGTGGAATCATACTTTCATGTTCAGTGGTCTGCATCCCCAGGATATAAAGAATGTTTGCCTAGAACTTACTGTTTGGGACAAGGAGGCCTTTTCCAGCAACATCTTTCTGGGAGGAGTTCGTTTGAATTCCGGAAGCGGTGAGGGACTTGGGGACCCTGATATGGTCTGTGACTGGGCATGGGGCAGGGGAGCGGTTCCTGCAGGTGTGATATGTAGTAGGTGTATGTATAGTTTCAGCTTAGCTGTCTCCTGCAATTTCCACAGATTTTCCATGTCTTTAGCCAAAGATCTTTTCATTTTTAAAATAAAATACTACTACATAACTTCGTATCCTTCAATTAGAAGTTTGGGATGGATAGTGTTTACATTCATTCTCTTCATAAAATATCATTTACACTTTAGTCTAAGTGAATTTCTGCTGCTTTCTTGGGCCTTGTATCAGGTTTCGCTAAGACAACAAAGACTTGTAGGGGAGAGGACTTCCAAGACCAACTTTACTTTATCCTCTTCTCATTTCTATCCAGCAGTTGCAGCCATTACTCACACTAGTTGTTTGAAAGGAAATAATTTTTTCCCTAAAAAAATAACATCTAATGTTGTTCAAACAGGCCGTGGAAGCACACCACTGGTGCCTGAAGGACACAACTATAACAGGAGGAATTGGGGGAAAAATTATAGTAGGGCAGCACATACAGCCCCTGAAATTCTCATTATCCCATAGCTTAGGCCAGACATAGATGGTCTGCATGCACCATGGTCAACAGTCCTGTTGAGAATGACTCACCCCTATGATGCTCTACTTATTTATAGATTAAGGAGGGCCAAAAATATCTATACCACTAAAATGAAAGCTTCCTTGTCAGAGAAGTGGCCTTCTTAGAAAGGGAGAGCCTCAGAGCCCAGTTCAGCCTGTTCTGTCATGTTAGCTCTGTCCAGATGAGCCAGCTCTCTGCTACACTACCAAAGTAGTGAAGAAATGAGCCACTATGGCCATCCTGATTGTTTCTCATCATCTAGGCAGAAGAGAGTAGTGCAGGCAAAAATGCATTCCATTCTAACACCACTCAGTAGGTATGATAAATGAGAACAAGGGAGTAAAGAGCTCTCTGGTCAAAAGGCCCCTTCAGAGGTTAATAGGTCTTCCAGAAGACCAAAACATTTCATCTGTGAAGTATAATGCTCCCCGTTCCCTTCTTTAGGTGTGAGCCATGGGAAGAATGTGGATTGGATGGACTCTCAGGGAGAAGAGCAACGCCTTTGGCAGAAGATGGCCGACAATCCTGGGACTCCCATAGAGGGTATACTCATGCTTCGTTCCAGCATGGGGAAGCGTCGGCTCTGAAGGTACCATTCTTCAAAATGAGGCCTCCAAGGACCATCTGGCTGCCATTTCCTACTAGTAGCAGGCATAGGATCTGGGATTTCTCTTCCCTGTCATTTCTCACTTGAGGGTATTGGGACATGAGGAGAGAGATATCAGTGTGATGAACATTGACGAGTGTCTAAAAAAGCACGTACTTCTATATGCCCGTGGGCCAGGGCCTTCGAGATTGGATGATAGAAAGTGTACTACACTGTCCTGCCAAAAAAACAAGCTGTGCAATTATTCATAGGCTTTATACTATATGAGAGAAGGCACAAGCTTATTTGACACTATAGTTGAGATTGGGAGTCCTCAAACTTTTGCTAGTTATGAGTTACTTTAGGTTTCCTCAAATGGTTTGAGGGAAAGGGGGGCCACTCAGGATATAGAGCACTTTAAGAGTAACTAGAAGGGATTGGATACCTTTTTCTCACCCTGGGAATCCCCACAATCTGAAAAAGGCATTGTAGGAATGGTTGTTGGAGCAAGGAGGTGGCCCTGTTATTATAGCAATCTTGTGGCTTAACCAGGTAAATTTCCAAGATGAAATGACAATTTTTTTTTCCTGTGGTGACTATATAATTTATAATCTAAATCAGCCCACTTTTCAGAGCGAAGGGAGCCAAATCATCATACCAGAACAATAGATGTAAACCAGGATTAATCTGGGGAAATCGGGATATCGGGTCACCTGGTTATGACCTAGCTGTTATGTCTGTTGTAAACATGTATTTTATAAAATATTCTAAGCCATTAACTAAGAGGGAGTAAGAAATAATGTACATTTTGAGCCCTGCTTGTGTCATGTCTACTGATACTCCATTGGTCAAAAGAAGTTACATGGCCAAGCCCAAAATCAAGAGGCAGGGACATATACTCTGCTACAGTGAAACCAATGCAAGAGTGAGATTACAGGAAAGGATGAAGAATCATGGCCAATGGTTCAATCTACCAATTCCATCTGTCACTTGGAATTCCAGATGCTTTAGCCACCAAATTTAGATGTGAAGGTAGTTAAAGCTGAAGGGGGCCTCAAATCTGATTCCTTATTTTGCATATTCCAGATCTGAACCCAGAGAGCTGAAATGACTTGCCCAAGATCTTATATAAGCTGTGACTATATCTGGACTTAAATCTAAGGTGTGATGCCTAGGCTAGTGTTCTTTCCACTGTACTCCTTGACGTGATCCTATGTTTATCAGGGTGGACAGGAGGACATATATAAAGGAAGGCAGAGCAGAGTCTGATTATTTAAGTATGAACATACCTGACCTAGTCTTCTTTTGGAGTCATCTTGTAGCCCCTCAGTTCATTTTTTTCACTTGAATTCATATAAAATCCTTAAAAGGATAGGAACGATTTTAGTAGCGGGAAAGTTAGAATCATCTTCAGGTGTATTCTAACTTATTGTTTCATATTTTCAATTTCTTCTCGAATTTTGAGTATATATTTAAGAGTATATTTAGCATTACTCTTAGTAAGAGAATAAGCAATCCATTTTCAATATTATAAAAAAAAATAGGCTACCTAATTCTAGAAAATTGAAATTGGTGGTCTAGTGTAGCTTAAAAAAAAAACAACTCACACCCATATTCATACATTGCTCTTCTTAAAAACATAAAACAAAATATGTAAGATCATCACTACTTTCTATTTTGGAAAAATAAATTGTCTTCAGACCTGATGATGTGCCTCATCCTATCTTCAATGACATTTTCAGGGTAGGTGAGAGGGGTGATGGTGAAGTCTGGGGACATCTCTAAAGTAGACAGAATGAAATGGATTTATTCACTAATAACAAAAGTAGCATAGAAATAAATATCAAAATTTACAACTTGAACTCACGACGAACATGAACTTTATGTGTTCAGATCTTTGCCACATTTAGAGCAATTCTCTGTATCATGGTTTCATAAAATCCAACATCTGATAACTGGTTATTTCCATGATGCAAAACCCAGGTATGCAGAAGTCCATCAGAAACCTGTTGTGTTGCTTTCAGAAATAAAAGGTAAATTGATCTTTAGGTCACTTTTTTTCTAAGGATAGTGTATAAGTAAAAAGAATATTTTTAAATATAGATAATACATGTGAATGTCATAAAATTCAAATAGTTCAAAGTCATGAAAAGTAAGTCTGTCTTTCTCTCCTTCCATATCATAATATATTGACAGCCTCATTCTTTTTTTATGGCTATAGGCTATTACATCATAGAGATATATCAAATTTAGCAAGCCCTATCAAATGCCACATTAAATATAATTAAGCTATGTTTGGATTTTCTAAGCAGTCTTTTTATTTTTTCAAAAATAAGCACTGAAATTCAAAATGAGATACACACACATATACACAGCAATTTCATTCACTTTGAGGTATTTATCCTAGAGGTAGATACATATGTAAGAAGTGAGTATATACAAGGGTTATTATTGCAGAATATTGGAAACAACCCAGGGGCCCATCAGTAGAGGCCATCAGTAATATCATATTATATCTGCCTAATTTTTCTGTGTCATTAGTTGCTCCTTCTCCTTCTTTGTTAATGATTGCTAAATGTTAAACATTGGATTCTTCAATGCTCGTTTTTTGTTTTTGTTTTTGTTTTTTCACCTCACTTTCTACACCCTCACAGGCATTATTATGTAGTGCACTCTCATGGTTTTATGACCACTTATATGCTTATCACTTCAAACTCACATCTCCAACCCAGACCCCTCCTCTCAGCCCCAGACCCAGATCCAACTGCCTATAGGACATCTCTATCAAGATAGCTCATGTTTTCAACATGCTCAAAATTGATCTCTTCATTCCACTGTCTCTATTGTACCCATGTCTTTCTGCTCCAGGACATCCTGACTCAGTACCTGATACCTACTTAGTTATACTAACTAGGTTATACTATACTAACCGTCATCTACTTGGTTATACTAACTAGGCATGGTTATACTAACTAGATACTGGGTACCGATCTTTGATTTATGCCTTTCCCTTACTCTGAGGCAAAATCAATCAGGAAACCATACTGATTCTACCTCTTTAATACTTCAGAAACCTGTCCAATTCTCATCATTCCCATGCCACTACCCTAGTCCAAGCCACCATCATCCCTCTCTATGATTGTTACAAGTCTCCAGTTACCATCTATGCAGCCATTCTTGCCCTCTGTCAAGCCATTCTTCATGCTATGGACAGATTTTCCCACCATGTTATTTTTAAATGTTCAAACGTACAGAAAAGTTGAAATGATTTTACAGTAAGCACCCTTATACCCACCACCTAAATTCAGCTTCTGCCATTAGCAATACTTGCTTATCATTATCCATCTATCCATCCCTAGAGTGATCTTTTTTAAAAAAATGTAAATCTGTTCATGCTTTAAAATCCTCCATGACTTTTCATTGACCTGAGAATAAAATCCAAATTCTTGCTCATAGCCTGCCAGGCCCTGCATAAGATGGTTGCTGCCTCCTCTCCAGCTTGTCCCAGGCCATGCCTCCCCTTCCCTTCAGTCACACAGTGCATTTTTATGCTTCTCAATTGTGCCAGGTTCTATCCCATCTCATGGCCTTTGCAAGGAATCTTCTTGCTCCTTTTCCTCATCAGTCTGATTTCCATTAATCATCCAGGTCTTAAATGTTACCTGCTCAGGGAAACCTCCACTGATTGCCTGCTGCCTGAATAGGTCACAGCAGCCTGTCTCTACTTCCCCTTCACTACACACATCACAATTATAATCAATTATTCATGTAACAAGTCCTTTAATGCCTGTGTCAGTTCCCTCTCCTCCATACATCCCTAGAATATAAGATTCATAAGGGCAGAGACAATATTTCTGTTTTTCACAGCTCTATCCCCTATGCTTAGTTCAAAGTGGGTAATTAAAAAAAAAAAAAAAAAACATTGGCAGAATAAGTGAAAATGAAAAAAAAGTAACATCATAGAATAGCAGACCAGTTGGCATCTTTAGAGAGAGAGATCACTTTTTTTAACTTCCAATCAACAGATAAGGAAACTGGGGCCCACACAGACCAAGAAAAATCTCTGAATATGCTTACTGATTGGTCTTTCAAAAGCAACCTTTCTACAAGTACTGTAGTTATATACAACCCTAGATAGTTCATTCCAGCCTGTCTCAGCACAGATAAAAGCACCAAGTGTGCTCTCCAGGCCAGCATATCAGCTTCTCAGAAGAAGAGACCACGGTCTTGCCTGGAGCATCCTGTTCCTTCTTTGAAGATCTCAGCCTTCCACTTTCCCTCAGTTGAATCAGAGAAGTTGTAAAGGGACATGGGCGAGCTTAAAAGCCTGACATCCATTTAGTTTGTAAATAGTGCCTGCAGGACACATGGAAGATTCAATTCAGTTTATCAGCTCTCATTTCACTATGTCGTTACTGTCACTGGAATCATAAAGATGTAGATATTTCAGGTCACAAAAACAAAGATATTTTGATGGGACTTCATAATCTTGGCCTCCTTTTCCTTAAGAAACTTACACAGATATATGACCAATGATCATTAAGTGCTTATGTAACTAGTGAATGTATTGAGCTCACCTGATTCACAGTGGTATTAGTCTCATCAACACTTGCTACCCCAAGGTTTATATTTGGCGGGGGAGGAGAAAGTTGTGGAAGTAATAAGGGCAAACCCCACTTTTAGAAGCAAAGTGGATCAAAATATCAAGTCCCGGAAGTACCTCAGAGTGAAAACCTATGGCATTTTGGACCTGGGATCAATGTTTTTCCTTCTATGTAGATATTTCACATTAACTCAGCATTGCCTTTAGAAGTTGGCAGAAGGGGTTTTCTTCCTACAATGGTGTCATTTATGGCCTCTGAAATTAAAGAAATAGAAGAAGGAAGTCTACACAGGCAAAACTATCACAATTGGATTTGGCAAGATTTGAACAGTAGCCATGGAAATTGGGCCAAATCAATGATTTTAAAGGATTATCTGAATCATCTGGAGGGTAAATTTAATACATTGATTCCAGAGCATTACTCCAAACCAACTGAACAAGAAATCTCCATCATTTTTTATAAAGCTTTTTGGATGATTCTAATCCAAGTGGATAAAACTGGATCATAGTTTGAGAAAACTGCATTAGAGAACAAATTATCTTGACTATGTAATTTGGACTAACTCTTTGTCATGATGGAAGATTGGATTTGGCTAACATGGACATTACTAATTGCAAGACAACCATGGTGAGATGGAAGGAGGCTAACCTTGGACTCAGATGACATTAGGCCAAGTCTTCACTGCTTTACCAACCACGTGACCTTAGTTAACTGAATTATTCAATCTAGGCCTTCATCTATTTGCCTATAAAATAAGAATAATCAGTCTACCTTAGAGTAATTGAAGATATCAAATGTAACATATAAATATGCTTTGTAAAGTTTAACCCACCTGTGGAAAAAAAAATTTATTGGTGAGCTAATTATAGCACTCTGTGGTTTATAAACTCTTAGGCCCCCTCTTTTCCTGGATGCTTGGTTAGAGGTTAAGCATTCAATATACAAGAAGTGGTCTCCAGTGTACAGCAAAAATTTAAAAAACGACAACAACACTTATTTTTGGGCTATGTTAGCCATTATGGGTGTTAATCATTTATGTGTTTTTAGGGTGCTGTTTATTTATTTATTTATTTGAAGTAGGAATTTCCTACTTCATCCAATTAGATAATAAATATATAAAAAGCAATTAGTTTTACAGAGAGAAAAACTGTGGTCAGTTTTTTGTTAATAGTATTGTGCAACCTGCAAGCAAACCATCTTCCTTCCCTTTCCCTTAACACCTCTTCCAGTGTAATGTAAATCTGTTTTTATGACCCCATGTTAGGGAGAAAACCAAACCTGCTTTCCTCACAAGGATGTTGTTCAGAATCATGCTTTTTATTTACGGAAGGAAATTTACTCTTCTGTGAAAAGAAATTCCACAGAAATACAAACTATTGTTGTCACTATGAGGAATGCATAGTGTTTCAGAGATTATCCATTTACTTCATTTACCTCACTGGAATTCATCAAACTATTCTGGTAGAGGGTTCCTTTCATATTTGGAAAAGAGGTAGAATATTTAATTAGTATTGCCTATACAATGACAAAACACTCATATAAAGTAAGAGGTCCTGCTTTACAGTTTTTTTGCACAAGAGGAGACTTGTCTCTCTTTTGCTCTCCTTTTTCTCTGAATGAGGCAGAAATTAATACAGAAAGCAAATGAAATATTTCATTGTAATTGCTAAAGCAAAAGTTTAAATTATTGGCATTTGCTGAGGAAAAAATGTCTTCTTATAGAAGGACAAAGAACTAGACATGCTTCAATCTAAATATTTCATTGTTATCCCTTTATTATTCAATCCACTTACCTTGAGGAAGGAATCTGCTCCTTCTAAGCCTTTTTTTCTACTTAGCCAATGGTTTATTTTGTCTTCAGAAAATTGAAACTTGATTGTGCACATCCATGGGAATTAATGAGTCCCCACAATTAATCTTTTTTTTTTTTTTTAAGTCTTATTTGGACACAAGGAAGGAAGTCATTCTATTACACAGCAGTTTATATCATTTATGATTGAACTGTAGTTAAAGAGATTGGGTGTTGGGAATATATTTTCTGTCCTTCCCTAGTATTCATTATTTATGAATGGACATTTTTGAAGAGAGATCAGTGGTTTTCAGTCGATGTGAAAAAAGAAAAATCTAGACTTTCCTAAATCTTCTTGCTTTTGACCTTCCTCACTACCCCTAATTAATTTGGCCTCCTTAATTCTCAAATATCTTCTTATATTGTCCTTCAATATAAGAAGGACAATATAAGAAGTACACACCAGAACTTTAGGGGATGCCCTTAATGCTTTTTTCCCACATGAATTTCTGGAAATAGTTTCAGCTCTTTCCTGTCACCTCCAAACCCAGCTCCGTTAGAGCTCTCTGCTTGCAAAGCATCTGAATGCACAGAAGCAGGTT